TTATCTTTATTTTGTGTGTTGAATTCAAATCAAAAATTTAAACATTTTATACTCGTAATTTTATTTTAGTATCTAAGACTTTTAAAATAATTTCAAGATACATATTTTATATTTCTTGATCTTTTTTTCTAACATTTTCATGTTTTGTTTTGTTTTTTTAAAACAACTTTGATATTTATATTTTGTACTTTACATTTTATGGTTAATTTTTTGCTGCTTTGCTTCTGCTAAACTTAATTTATTGTTCAAATTCACAAAAGATATGATCAACAAAAATCACGCAAAATCTTTGATTTAAATTTCAGAATTAAAGCATAAATATTTATTAACCTACAATAGATTCAACAGACATGAGCCATTCTGCAAGATGCATTTTATACGACTGTAATATAATATAATCCCTCTGTCTGCTGTTTCTACTGTAACTAAAGGTGTCTCTACTTTTATTTATTTTATACTCAGTCTTTAAATCTTGTATTTTCTGATTTGATTGGTTTGATTTGCTATAAAACGTTCCTCACTGTCGGCCTGCGTTGTTCTCATTAAGACTCTCAGCACATTAAGCTTTAATTTCTGGCTCATTGACGCTGCAGAGGCTGATGGGAAAGAACTGAGAGGTCAGAGGCCACAGCACACAGACAATAGAAGAAGAAAACATCCCATCAGCTTGAAATCATTTGATCAGAGCTCATTTCTTCATGTCTGTCATGTTTAATGAAGCAGCGCTTTTACTCTGGATTCACTGTAGAAGCCGGTTTACGTTAAATCAGCTCTTAAATCTTGTAAACATGATGGTGTGATTATACTTGTGTCTATGTGTGGATATGAAGTGTTTTATGAGGAGGTCTTGTGTGATGCTATTTGCAGTGTTCTGGGTTCAGGCTCCATCATCATCTGTGTGATGCTGCAGAGACTCAGCAGGACGCCGGAGGTCAGTTCATTCTTTTAGTTCCTTTATGAACGAAACACAAAAATATTCAGCAAAGAAACACACTGAATCCTAAACAAATTGACGGTTTCTTTTAAAGACAATGTGTGCATGTGTGTCGTCTGTTGTGCGCTATGAGATGAAATGAAGTGTGTTGTGTGTTTGCAGCTGCAGCCGCTGTTCCTGCTCAGCGTGTCCGACCTGCTGCTCGCCGTCTGCTGGCTCTGTGGAGCTGTTCTGTTCTCACAACACTGCAACAGCCTGAACACACACTGCTACAACCTGCACAACGTGGAGCAGGTAACACGACAACACAC